AAGAGGTAACTATGGGGAGGAAGTGGGGGGGAGCTGTTGCATTGTGGTAAACTGTGGTCAATGACATGAGACAAAGTATATGTGAACTACTGTATGGAAAGTGGATATGCTCTGTAAATCTTAACCCAAATCACAATAAAAAATTAAAAAAAGAAAAATAAGTGACTCTTAATTGAAAAGGTAGTTGCAGGCATGATATAATCCCATTGTGATTTTAAATGTCTGCATAATTAGATGTAGTCACACACATAAATGCATTTATAAGAATAGATACTAAATTATTAAGTAGTTAAATCTTGAGAGTGGTGCCTGCAGATGAAAGGGGCCTTGCTGTGGGATGCCTGGCTAATCTTTTGTCCTGAAGTCCTTATTTTTTCCTGTTTAAAAAATCTCTGAAATGGCATTTTAAATACAAGGTTATGTAAAATCTAGAAAACAAATGTTCTAATGTAGAAAGAAAGTCAGTCAAGTCCCTCCTTTGGGCTCATGTAGCCTAGCAAGAGTAGCTCTTGGTTTTGTTTCTATGTATTAAGCTGGGTTTCTTTCTAGGCTAATCCACACAATTATGATGCGTGGTTTGATTATTTACGCTTGGTGGAAAGTGACGCAGAAGCAGAAACCGTGCGAGAAGTCTATGAAAGAGCCATTGCCAATGTGCCACCAATTCCGGAGAAGAGGCACTGGAAGCGCTACATCTATCTTTGGGTCAACTATGCACTTTATGAAGAGTTAGAGGCAAAGGTGAAAAATGCAAATACATGTCAGCTGTTAATGCTTTCCTTACTCCTGTGCTTACAGCTCGCCTGTTGTGGGTAGTACCTAATATTTACAGTCCTTGAAACAAAAGAATTTAGCTTTAAATACTGATGGTTCTCTGTTCAGCCATACGGTTGTATATTCACTCTGCAATATTTTAGAGTATAGGTGTTTGCTCTGAGCACATGTGAGGGGTTTTTTTTGTTTGTTGTTTAACCTTTTAGGGGCAAAATGGGATATTACTTGGTTGGAAACTGAAGGGAACAATAATCCAACCTTCGTTTAATTATACATAGTTTCCTTGGTTTTCTCATAAATAAGGATCATGGCTAGATTGTATATTTTTGCTTCTAGTAAAGATCAAGTGGCATTTTCAGATATTGGCAGTGTGTAAATTAACAGGAGAGATTAATTTACACTGTTGATCTGAGAATACAAAGTATCTTTGTTTCTTTCTGCTGTCAGGCAAAAGCCTTTCTACAAGGAAGCTCTCAGAGTTTGATGGCTATATTGTTGGTGATTCTTAACCCAAAGTTTGATGCCAAAGGTAGTTCACATTTTTTATCATAAATGAAAGTAGGGCTTGAAAACTACAGCTTGTTGGATAGAGTGTGAGAAAAATGTAGAACTGCAATAACGGCAAGGAGGCCACATGTTCTGACCTCCTGTAATCCCACGAGAGGAAGACAGGATTACGAGCAGTAACCCAAGGCCTGTTACTGCAAGGCCAGACATGCTGCCTCCCTCCAGCCCTTTCACCAACCGTTCCTCCCAAAGCACCCACCACCTCTCCTCTGGGTTCGATAATTCGCTGCAGTGGCCACACAGAACTCACGGATTACGGGGTTTATTAGGGAAGCACCAGGCTACAACTCAAATTCAAGAAGAATGCTCAGTCTCTCTCCCAGCCCACCGTCCCTCAGCCAACAGTCTCTTGCATCTCTTTCCCAGCAGCACATGTCTCTTTCCAGGGTGCGTGTCTCTTTCCGCAGCACTTCTTCCTCAACCAGCAGTCAGAGCAAGTTCTGCCTCCAGGAGGCCTCCTTTTGAGCCCGGAAGGGTGGTCAAACTAGCCAATCACAGCATCAGAACTCTAAGCACGTGAGAGAGAGTGGGCACCTCCCAGAACATTGTATTGTGCCACACCCAACAGAAATAACCCAGGTGGACAACTTCAGCAATCAAGAGCTCCTCAGTTGCTCATAGAAAATCCCACCTTGGAGTTTACAAAGACTTATGGGTAGAAAAGCCACACTAAGTAATTTACGACACTGCAAGAACAAAACTCAAAATCATAAAAAAAAGACCAGTGACTGGTAGAACCCCTGAGACTTTTCCCCTTAGATACCCTTCAGACATGGAACCAAACTCACCCCCATGGCTCAGCTTTCTGCCAAACAGTAGACAGGCCTACAAGGTGGATGATAAAACCAGGGAAGTACGTACTCTTAGCACAACCAACCATACGTGATCAAAAGGGCAGCATTTGCCCAGGGATAAAGCTCAGAAGGCAAGAAGGACAAACAGAAACTAAATGCAGGGAGGAAGTAGGAAGAGTGCTGTTACATTATAAGGATGCAGTCTGTCAGGGATTAAAATGTGTTTGGATTGTTGTATGGAAAACCAATTTGCTGTGTAAACATTCACCCAAATCACAGCAAAAAGAAAACAGCAACTCAGGAAAGCATATTCAGTGGTGATGGGGGTATTCATTTTTACTAGTAAAACTGGTAACTTCTAAAATTAATATGATCAATAGATGTCAACATTTTGTGAAAATTTCTATTCTATTACAGGATCCCGAGAGGACAAGACAAGTGTATAAAGCCTCTTTGGAACTAATTCCTCACAAAAAGGTATGTGTGTTCTAAAGTGTTCAGTTCCAAACAGGTCAAAATCCTGCTTCTGTAAGTTATAGTCACTGAGTGAAATATTTATTTATTGAATATTTATTTCCTTGTGCTAGGCACCATGGAAAATACAAATAACAAGATATGCTGCATTGTTGAACTGATGTATATTCTGCTGTGTATATTCACAACAATAAAAAGAAATGAATTTAAAAAAACAAAATAAATAAGTTCCTTGCCTCTGTAAAGGTTTCCAGTCCAGTTGAAAGGACAAAATGTGTGACAAGTGAATAGGACCAATCATAGGTAAAAGAGAAGTGAGCATAATTTGAGTAAACTAAGCCAAAAGAAGAAGACACACATGTTAAGAGCACACATCATGTATAGGAAACAATTAACCAGGTGTTTTTGGTAATAGGGCATGTGCACACACAGGAGTGAACACATGCACTTTTCTGGGTGGTTGAAATGTTGTCTCTCCCATATTTCCCAGCATGGGATACAAAGTATTTTTTTCTTCTGTAGAAATATTGACTGAGTTACCTGTGGGATGTTCAGCTCACTAATGACTAAAAGCCACCTGTGCTGTTGGGGGCTGTGGTGGACTCTTACAGTGTTAGAGTACAATAAGGGTTCTAGATCATGGTTGGCTTATTTGTTTTTAACCTTGATGAAATAATATAGTTCTGAAATTTTAGAGAAAACTTACTGCTGATGGCCTTTAGTTAATTTAAATGAGTCTTTTAAGCTCGATGTTTTTATGCTTTTGTTTTCTAGTTCACATTTGCCAAAATGTGGTTGCTGTATGCACAGTTTGAGATAAGACAGAAAAATTTACCATTTGCCCGAAGCGCTTTGGTAAGTAAAGAAAAGATCAGAAGCATAATTAAGTTATATGAGAAGGAAATTAATATGTTGGTGCTAACAAGTTACACAATTCCTATTTAAAAAGCAACAGGAATGTTCATGTGTTTATAGTTTGGGTCAAGTTAGAAAATAAATAGCTTTTGGATAAAAATTAGATGATAATGCTTAGAATTATTAACTAGTGATAATGAACATTCTATTTCAACATAGGAAACTTTTATAGCTACCAGTTGCCAGATCTTTTTTTAGACTAGAATTAGTAGTCTGATTCTGTATAAAATAATTGTATTAATGTAGTCTTCTCAATAATTGTTCTACAGTTCCTTAATAGGATGAAGTATTGTATTAGAATTCAGTTATTCTCATAAGCTACTGGCACCTAGCTATGGGCAGCAAGGAGCCATGGTGGTGCAATGGTTAAGTGCTTAGGTGCTAACTGAAAGGTTGGCAAACCTACCAGTGGCTCCATGGAAGAAGAGATCTGGAAATCTGTTTACATAAAGATTACCAGCCTAGGAAACCCTATGGGATAGTTCTGCTCTGTCATAATATGGTCTGGGAGTGAGAATCAACTTGAAAACACACAACAGCAATGTGCAGCAAGTAGATTTCCTTCTTTGGTTGCCTTTTCATATATAAGAAGTTTAATACATCTGACATCTGTATTCCCTAAGAGATCCAGAGAACTTTCAATAAAATCCAAAATATTTGCCCAGTTTTGGAATGCTTCCCTTTGCTAAACAGGTAACAGTGAGCACAGGCCCTGTTGTCAGTTGAGTGAATTATTCGAGGTTTTTTGTTTTGTTTGTCACTTTGTCAAGAACCAGCATGTACAGTGTGGAATATGACAGGGAAACAACAGCCCTACAAGGGACTTTCTCAGCAATAACCAGCCTTTAGGACAGATGGACAATGGGTACAGGTTGAACCCACTAAGGTATCACAATGGTTTGGTTATTTTATTTTCCAGGGAACTTCCATAGGCAAATGTCCAAAGAACAAATTATTTAAAGGTTACATAGAGTTGGAGTTACAGCTACGAGAATTTGACAGATGCCGAAAGCTTTATGAAAAGTTCCTGGAATTTGGACCTGAAAATTGTACCTCTTGGATTAAATTTGCAGAATTAGAGACGATCCTTGGTGACATTGAGCGAGCCCGGGCCATCTATGAGCTGGCCATCAGCCAGCCTCGCCTGGACATGCCAGAGGTGAGGGTTTCAAGCTAAGATAACTTTATTTTAGATGCTTCTCTGGTATTACTCTGATAGTCATCTACCTGTGTATGCATTTTAGAATATAAAGACCAGTTAACTAACTTCTGTTCTTTCCCACTCACAACAGGATTTTTCTGTTTAAGGATAGAAATGGGATAGGGGAGGGCAGACTTTCAGTCAGATACCAGAGGATAATAAATCCCAATGACACCCTCGATGAATTGGGATATGTGATGAGTGACTGGCTCTCCTCCCCTTTTCAAACAGGGGGAATGGGAATGGGAGAGAAAAGAACAGGCAGAGAAATAGCTAGCAGGCATATCTGGAGAACGGGGAAGGTAAAGGGTTAGATTGTCCCAGCACAGTCTTTCTGGGTTGGGCCAATAAAGGGAGTGCCAGCTAAACCAGGATATTCCTGAAATTACTGCAGTTGCTATCCTGGCATTCCTGGCCAGCCAAAGGACCAGAAATCATCACATTAGTATTTAAGCTGGAGCCACAAGATAGGGTATTTGGGACCAATTTCAATCTCTCAGGAGCCTGAAATTCAGCTCAGATATTTTGTTAATCTTACACTAATGTGATTCTGCAGCTAATGATTTGGATCCTCAACACATTAGGGCAGAGTTTTGTGCATTACTGGATCCACCAGTTCATCTACTAGGCTGCCTGCTCCCAGGGGTCAGGGCTACATTTTATGCATCCTTGTGTCCTGACAAGACTGTACATAGCAGGTGGGCAGCTGTTCAGTGAATGCATGTTGAGTTGAACTCAATAATAAGGGATTTACAGTGGAGGTGAGAGCACTACATACTGGCTCATCCAGGCTTGTGTTCTCAGAAAGTCAGCTGTATGTGGCAGGATCATAAATGAGTACATGGAGACTCTTGGCAAGTTTTTGAGTTCTTAATGATAAGTCAGCAGTAGAAAGATTATGAAAGAAAATCCCAGAAGGAATCCAAGGCTTTTTACCTTATGTTGTAGAATTCTGGCCAAGATCTCTCCAGCCTGTAAACACCTGTACTGTTTATTTTTTCCACATGTGATCTGTTCCTTAGTTTTTCAGTAAATGTCCTAGGTCCTTGCCCTTTAAAAAAAATGTATATGAGACCCAGATGGTCAACAATTACTTTTAAAACAAAGATGAGAATCTAAGAGGGCAGGGAAACTAGAGTAATGAAAATGGAACAAGAATAGAAATAAGAATGTTCATAAATTGGGAAGAATGTAACCAATGTTTCTATCAACAGTATGTGTAGAAATTGGTGAATGGGAACCTAAACTGATATGTAAACCTTCACCAAAAATACAATAAAGTATTATTTAAAAAAAAAAAATTATAAAGTCCTAGATACTGGATGTAGTTAGATTGGTGGGCAACATGTTCTTTGGATAGGAGCACCTTGCTTTCTAAATGTCAAGCCTGACCTATTATCTTTCTTAGGTGCTTTGGAAGTCATATATTGATTTTGAAATTGAGCAAGAAGAAACTGAAAGAACACGAAATCTTTACCGAAGATTGCTTCAGCGGACACAACATGTGAAGGTATTCTGTGCTTTCTAGGTTTCTCTGGGTTTTGCTTGAATAAGCAAGCTTCAAATGAAGAAAATACTGTATCTCAGTATTTTAAGTGTCTGTGTGTTTATTTTAAATGACTTCTTTTAAATAAGAGAACTTAAGAGTTTCAGAGGACTTTGGAATATTAGGATTACACCCAGTCATTTGGCCAGGGTTGGGGGTGTAAAACTCTTGTCACAATTTTCGGACTATTTCAGATACTTAAATAGAAGCAGTTTGTATATTGTATTTTATGGACTACTTGGTATGACTCCGTTAGTGTATTCAGTTGTCATTAATGAGAAATTAACTACATTATTTTAAAATTAACTTCTGGATAACATGGCTAATTTGGTTCTGTGATAACTTTTGTTATTCCAAGGTATGGATCAGTTTTGCTCAGTTTGAGCTGTCTTCAGGGAAAGAAGGAAGCTTGGCTAAATGTAGACAAATTTATGAAGAGGCTAACAGAACCATGCGAAACTGTGAAGAAAAGGAAGAGAGACTTATGTTGTTAGAATCTTGGAGAAGCTTTGAAGATGAATTTGGAGCCATATCTGATAAGGAAAGAGTAGACAAACTCATGCCAGAGAAAGTCAAGAAGAGAAGAAAGGTGCAGACTGATGATGGGGTAAGAACTAAGCCTATTTTGTTTCAAATAAATAGAAAACACACCTGACTTGGAAATTACACCTTTAAGTGGCCTATACTCTGGTGCCATAGTGCCTAAGGCATTTGACTGCTAACCTTCTGGTTGGCAGTTTAGACCCACAAGCCACTCCACAGAAGCAAGACAGGGCAATCTACTTCTATGAGAATTTACCACCTCAGAAACCCAAAGGGAGTCACTAGGAGTCGGAATTGACTCAATGGCACTGAATTTGGTTTTTTCCTGTTATGTATAATCTTAGGATGGAAGCAAATAGCCTGGAATAGGAGAAAGTTTCCATCTGGGTACTGTGGAAATACAGAGCAAGGCATATAGTCCAGTCAGAGTTGGGGAGTGGGAGAGGGTTGGCAAAAACTGCTTCATGAAGATTGATTCCTGAAACTACATAAAGTGTAGTAACCATAAGCAGGAAGTCAGTATGGTATGAAATGAAACGGGAACTTTTAGGTAGGAGCCAATCCATAGAAGGCTTTGAAAGCCACATCAAGGAGTTTGGTGGAAATCACAAAATGACATGACCAGGTCAACTTTTGCCAACATCCCTGGCATCTCCTACAAGCAGACACAAGGGGCTTATAATGGAGATGAGAAGACCATTCAGGGGCTTGTAAGCAAGTGATGTCAAGTTCAAACTAGAGCAAGGCCTAACTGAGAGCAGTGTTTGGGAAGTGAAATAAGTGACTGTAGGTGGGAGTGTAAGGGCAGAAGTCAGAATAATAAATGTACAGATTTATGCTTATGGCTACTTGGTAAATATTAAGTAAATCTTTAACAGTCATTTAAAATTTTAACCACAAGACTGCAAGATGGAGTTGTGTCACCTCTTGGTTGACAGACTCTAAGAAGACTTAGGCTTAGATTTCTAGAGTTTTCTTCCATCACATTTTTAGTTCTCAGTAAGATACAATGGCAAATACCTATCTGACAGCTACTTAACTCACTTCCAGACTTTCAGGTTCAGCCCTTGTTCTTTCTATAAACTTTGATGTTTTATAAAATGAGGAAGCATTGAATTTGAACTCTGGGTTTTCTAGTGAAAATTGTCTCCAGTTTAAAGTAACCAAAATGTGAGTGTTAACCATGAGTCAGCTTATGCTTTATCTAATTACTTTATTTCTGTAGTCTGACGCAGGCTGGGAAGAATACTATGATTACATCTTCCCAGAAGATGCTGCCAACCAACCCAACCTCAAGCTCCTGGCTATGGCCAAACTTTGGAAGAAACAGCAACAGGAAAAGGAGGCTGCTGAGCAAGATCCAGATAAAGACATTGATGAGAGTGAATCCTGACGTTTTTTACATATTGATAAATGCTTTGTTTTTATAAGTTTAAATACTTTGAAACTTTTGTGACTCCTTTAAGTTTCTGTATATTTCACCTGTAATGAATTGGCTGGAATCTTTGACAGCACTTTTTTAATCATTTCAGAAATGCTCTTAGGTTAGGGGTGGGGATTACAAGTGAAGGAATATTTTAATTTCTGGATTTCTTCACCTGACTGACACCAAACTTTCCTATTTAGTTTGTCCATGCCACGCAGTGTAAAATCTAATTAAGGTAACACTTAGCATCTATTATAAATGGATTTCAAAATATTTGTACTCTTTTTCTAGAAGTTTTCAGGTTATATATTAACTTTTACAGTATAGTTTTCTCATGCTTGTTGTCTTCATTGAGATGCTTTTTATGCATTCATTTCATATCTTTTTCACATCTTCAAAGTCACATGCTTACCCACAGTACCCAGCATTCCACTTACTAATATGTAATTTAACCTTTTTTTTTCCATTTCCTCATTCATGAAATGGGCTAATTTGGCAGCTTATTCTATAGATTAAATTAGAAAAGAAACAATACCTGGCACATAATAGGTTAATAGTTATAATAAATGTTCATTCCCTGCCACTCTCTTATATATGTTCTTACAGTATTGAATGTGCTAAGTAGCTGAACTTTTAAATATCCTTCCTTAATAGTGGGTGGTAATAGTGCTTTTTTAAAACATTACCTGAAAAGTCAGTCTCAGTAACTATATTTCTGAGGTGCTCTGGTGGCATAGTGCCTAAGGCATCTGACTGCTAACCAGAAGACTGGCAGTTCAAACCAACCAGCCACTCCTTGGAAGGAAGACTGGGCAATCTAACTTCCATAGAGATTTAAAAAAAAAAAAACCAAACTCACTGTGGAGTCAATTCAACTCATAGTGACTCCTCCCCCTGGGTTTCCAAGGTGGTATCTCTACAGAAGTAGATTGCCCAATCTTCCTTCTAAGGAATGGCTGGTGGGTTTAAACCAGCAGCCTTTTGGTTAGCAGTCAAATGTTTTAGGCACTACACCACCAGAGCTCTGCAAATACCATCTCAGAAACCCCAGGAGGGGTTACTATGAGTCAGCATCAACTCGACGGCAGTGGTTTTTTTTTTTGTCTATATTTCTGAACAAGGCATTTTTTACTACCACTTTACTGGAATTTCAGTTATGTTCTAATCAGTTTCCCAAACTGGCTGATGTTTTTAATGGTTTTTTAAAAGGACATAAGCATGCCTGCAAGAAATGATGTTCATGTTCAAGGAAGTTTGAGGAACTCTGTATTAAGGGCTGAATTTTGTTTCTCTAGTCCCCTTGTATTTTGACTTCTCAGAGCCTTTAATATGCTACTATATATTACAAATCTCTAGGAAAGATACTACCATATTGAATCATTTTTACTAGAGTACTGATAAACCACTTCCAGTATGACATAGTACAAAATGGGCTGCTCATACCTGACGCATTAAACTTACCCTTGATTTAGCCCCTATGTAAAAAACACATAAGCTGTTTATAATGAAACTTACTATTTAGCAAAAAGGATAGTAGCGTATTTGCTCATACCTGTGCTTATGTTCTCAAACAAATACTTGCCTGAATTAACTGATCTGAGAGGTGGTTTCCTTCTACCTGGCCTGTATTTCTCAAGCACATTTTTCTTGTTCACTGCCCAAGATACTTAACTAGCATGGTCTTCAAGAATGCTTTTATACAAAGAACCAGTAATTAGCCAATTTATTAAACCTGCAAATTTTTTATTCACCCAAGGGAATAAAACCTAGTCAATAGTGTTACTAAATTCTAACTTAGGATACAGTATTTGAGAGCAGAAGAAAATAGATAAGGATAAAAGATAAATCTCTGCTCACCAGACAGTGTCTGCCACTGGGCATTCAGCTTGGTTCTAACAATCAAGTAGAAGGGTCTAGTTAGTGGAAATTTGTAATTTTAATACCCTTTCAGTAAGTCAAGGGGTGAAATGAAAGCACGCAAAAACACTACTGTGACTAGTCATAGTCTTTCTACAATTATCTGTTCTGTTGCATATATGCGTAAGAAAAAATTACTGCTTATGTACTCAATGTAAACTCACAAATTTGACAAGTGCCAGTGAAATGCATGAATGGAAAAAGTTATTCTTTCACAGGAGAACAAAAATGATTCATTTCTCTCTGACCCAAAACTCTACCAAAATAAGTCTTTCCAATAGTAAAAGCTTTTTCATAAAAATCTTCCTTTTGGCTTTTTTCTCTAGCTATTTATTTCTTTCACTTACTTCCTGGATATCTTCAGCTACTATAGGCGATAAAACTACATATGAAAATACATGGTTGGTCTATGATGTAATTATGGCTTTTCTTGAGAATTAGGTTCTTTTTCCCATTCTTAAAAAAAAAAAAAAAAACTTAGCATCTTTCTATTCTCAAAGGCAAGATTTAAGCAATGCATTGTGATCAGGGACTGTTTCAGTTTCCAGTATGAAAACAAGTAACTAACTGGGATGAATTTACTCTGCAATAAGAAGGAAACTTGTGTATGCTGGCCCAGAATTGTAAATGCACAATTAATAATGTAAGTGAAACAACACTTCCTAAATGACTTTTCTCAATTCTGCTTTAGTTTTAAAAATGACCAGCAAACTTCCAACAAATATAGGGTCAACAATATTTTATTATACATCTTAGATTTATACATTTCATAAATGCTTTTAAAGCTTTAATTAACATTTGAATACAAAATAAAAATATATATATGCAGCAGTGGTTCCCAGGCATAGAATTTAGGAGGAAATTGGAGCAAGTTTTTCCCTAGCATTTTTCCCTAGTGAATATTACAAACCATGATAGTGGAATGTCTCTTGACCTAGCTGCCTTTTTGACTGAATTTTATTACAGTGAATTTGACTGAATTTTATTACACAGCTTTGTTGCTCTCAAGTAGATTCCAACTTATAGAGACACCCCGTACGAGTAGAACTGTCCTATAGGGTTTCCTAGGCTGTAATTTATGGGATCAGATCACCAGGTCTTTTCTCCCATGGATCGGTTCACGGATTTGAACCACCGACCTTTCAGTTAACAGCTGAGTTCTTAACCATTGTACCACCATGGCTCCTTTGAACAATTATAATTAAGTATGATACTGCTAATTTCAAACAGTGAGATTGAAAGTAAGTTTATAACCAGTATTTTCTTGATGTCTTTATAAGACCTAAATGATTATTTTTCTCCTAATAGAGCTCCAAGATCATCCATATCTTGGATGGGAAATAATACTGTCCATAAACTATCTGGAGCATCTGCCTAAGAACCACTGCCCATGGTTATTCAATGTCTTCAGGCCTCACAGGATGAGGTAATGGTATGATGGATTTCTTCTCTGTGTCCCTAGAAAGTGCTTTCCTCATATCTGTTAGGAAGCAAAGGTTAATGTGAGTACCTAAATATAAAAATATTTTATGTAAAATGCATAAAGTTACAGTAAGTTTCACCCCCACCCCATCACCTCTACACTCACCTCAACTTCCACCAGATTTTAAGAGAAATGTATTTATATGTGAGACTCCTGACCATAAATTCCCTAGACACTAGTCAGATCCCACCCAGGATTCAGCTCATCACACAAATGTTCTTCTGACAGAATCTTAGCAAAGTAACATGCCTGAACATAATCAAACAGTTGTTTACAGAATTTAACCACTGGTTAGCTGATACACATAAACTATTGGTAGATTCATAATGGTAGGCTAAAGGATGTTCTAGCTCAGATTTAAAATGTTATGGTCAACAAATATTTCAGTGCAGTTCTCTTAAATCTGTTAAGATACTGGATATTTCAGTCTATAGAAGGAATGTAAATGTTTTGGCTTCTTCTGGGTGCTGCCATGGGACGGAGCTTACCGTAAGCATCCTCATCCGGCTCCCCATTGCTAGCTGAATAGTACTCTATGACCGTCCTGTATACGCTGTAGCCCAACTGCTTGTACATGTTGACAGCAACTTGGTTAGATACTCTTACAAAGAGATCAACAAAAAAGCCACCTTTTCTTTAATATAAAAACAAACAGAAAATGTTAAAATGTGAGAAATCCTTGGAAATGCATACATATTTTAGAAAACGATTCTTTCTACTGTTTTGACTACTACCCATAAAATGGTAGGAGCAGGACCCTATATGACTACATCATAGTATCAGTTTTTATTACTTAGGATTTTGTAATTATTTGGTAGTATAAAAAGATGACTTTGTGTGCATACTAGCATTTTAAAACCTCCATGTTTTCTCAAAAGGTAAACCTCAAAAAAGCATTCTTCTTTAATCACAATTCTATGCCCTGGCTTAAAACTGTTGCTTTGTTATAGTAACTGATGTGTTCATTTATAAATTAGTCATAGCATACTGTTTTTGCTCATACATATAAACTTATTCCAAAATAAAGATTATGAAGTGTGAACCATGTACAGCTGCAGGATGCTGGTTGAAGCCCTACAATCAATAACACCCAGGTCTCTACATCCTCCCTCTTGCAATAATCATCTTGCTTTTTGCTATATAGATTTACTCCCTGTCATAATTTAGTTTCTCCTGTTCATGAACTTCATATAAATGGAATCCTACTTTATCTTTTCTGGTTTGCCTCTGTCAGCCAGTATTGTGAGATTCAGCCTCCTGTGTTAGCTGCAGCTTATTTATCTTCACTGCTTGTTTATCATTCCACTGTGTGACTATACTGTAAGTTGTCTGTGGTCTTATTGATAAACAGTTTTCAGTTTTAACTATTATAAACTCTGCTGCTACCTATTTCTGTTGTGTGTCTCATGGTGCAATATTTAAGGTCTAGAGCTAGTAGTGTCATTGGTGATCACTAGAGTATGTACATCTTTGACTTCTATTAGAAAATGCCAAACTGTTTCTAGCCAGGTTGTACCTACCAATTTAACACTTCCACAGAAGCAGGTAAGGTTCCATTCCCACTAGCAAGGCTTGTTGTATCGGACATGTTATTTTTTGCCAGTCTTACGGAGTAATGATATCTCATGTGATTTCAATTTGCATTTCTGAATCCTAACAAGGCTTGAACACATTTTTGTTTACTGGCCATTTGAATTTCTCCTTGTGTATACTATATATTGATCCTTCACACATTTTTCTTGTTTTTAGTTGTGCTCTATGTACTCTGGATATTCAACACTGTAATGTTCTGCCAATTATCTTGAATTGTGCCTTATCTTGTCATTATCCTTATGGTGTCTTTCCATGAACAAAGTTCTTTAACATCAATGAAAGTGAATATATGAACCTTTATTTTATAGTTAGTTCTATGACTTGTTTTAAGAAATTCTCTACCCTGCATGGTGATACTTACATTATCGTCATGGAGATACTTACATTATTGTCAAAGGGTTTTTTAGTTTTGCTTTTCATGTTCAGGTTTTTAATCTGGTATTGATTTTTTATGTGTGGTAAGATAATAATCTGGGAAAATAATTTCCCAGATAGACATCCAATTGTCCCACATAACCTTCCTCAAAAAGTCTTATTTTCTCACCACTGATCTGCAATTTCTTTTCTCCGGTATGTCAAGAATCTATGTAAGCCTGGATCTATTTCTCAAATTCTGTTTATTAAAATTTTATATCTGGAGGGTCAAGTCCACCCATTTTGTTATTCAAGAATATCCTGTCTCATTTTGGTTCTTTTGATTCCCTGAGTTTTAGAATCACCTTATCAAGTCATACAAAAATACTTCAGATTCTGAATTGATTACATTGCATCCATGGATCAGTTTGGGGAGAATTATGAGTTTTACAAGATGAAGTCCTCTATGGATGTACTTTTTCTCTCCACATAGGTAGGTCTCTCAATAAAGATTTATAAACTTCAGAGGGCCTTGCACAGCTCTTGTGAAATTTTCCTAAGCACTTGATGCCATTATAAATTGCATCTGTTTCTTAATTTTGTTTATATATAGAAATCCAATCAATTTTTATACTAATTATATATCTAACAACTTTGCATAACTTTTATTCTAAACATTTATTGGTAGATTCTGTTTTCTATTTATACAGTAGTATCTGTGAAAAGTTAAGTTTTGTTTCTATTATCTCAGTCTTCCTATCTTTATTTTTCTTGCTTCAATGCATTGTTAGGATTTACTGTATTATTAAAGAGGGGCAGACTGCACTCATCTTGTTTGTCCCTGATTTCAAAGGGAGAGCATTCAATGCACTACCATAAAATGATACTTATGCAGGTTTTTGTAGATACATTTTTTTTTCAAATTAAGGAAGTAACTTCTCCCTGCTCATTTGCTAGTTTGCTAACAGGTCTGTTTGTTTTTCACTAATAAATATTAGGTTTTATGAAGGCTTTTTATCAATTTTTTCATTTTTACTTTGAAACTATATCACTGAGTATAAATTTTTAACTGTTACAGCTTCCTGATGAATTAAATCTTTATCACTATGCAGGAACCCTTTTCGTAATACAGCCTTGAAACATAATATGACAATTATAAGTATACCTATTTTCTTTTGGGAGCTCTGGTAGCATAGTGCCTAAGGCACTTGACTGCTAACCAGGAGGCTGGCGGTTCAAACCCACCAGCCACTCCTCGGAAGGAAGGTTGGGCAATCCTACTTCCGTAGTGATAACTGCCTCGGAAACCCAAGGAGGGGTCACTAGGAGTTGGGGCCGACTCTATGGCAAATAACAACAACAACATTTTCTTTTGGTTAGAATTTGCATGGTAATCTTTTTAATTTACTTTCATATTTCTGTATCTTTATTCTTTACACATATCTTGTATATAGAATCTGGTTCTGACAGTCTTTGTCTTTTAACTGTAATGTTTAGTTAATTTACATTTACTATAAATATTTAGATTCATATCTACTGTCTTACTTCCTACTAAAAAACTAAACTCAATGCCATCAAGTCAGTTCCAACTCATAGCGACCCCTCCTTGGGTTTTCAACCCGTTACCTCTACGGAAGTAGATTGCCCAGTATTCCTTTCAAAGAGTGGCTCATGGATTTGAACCACCAGCCTTCTAGTTAGCAATCAAGTGCCTTAGACACTTTGCCACCGGAGCTTCTACTACAGGTATACCTCATTTTATTGTGCTTCACTTTACTGCACTTCACAGATAGTGTGTTTTTTACAAATTAAAGATTTGTAGCAACCTTGCATTGAACACATCTATCAGTGCCATTTTTCCAACAGCATGTGCTTATTTCAGGTCTGTGTAACATTTTGGTTAATTTTCACAATATTTCAAACGTTTTCATAATGCTCAAGTTCCTCTTTGCCCTCAACTCTGTCAGACTGTTTGTCAGGCCTATTCTATTCTTTAAAACTTAACCTTTATTAAATCCACTAATAAGTGGAAGTGAAACCTCAAAAGCCTTTCTCAGCAACTACTCTCTCTCTTTTACTACATTTCTAGGCAATTGGAGAGGTAAAATAAACTGCAGCTTGACAACTGGTTAAAACTTCCACATACATCTCTTATGTCTTACTTTCTAGAAATGAGAACTGGGAAAGGAGTCTTTTAATTACTATATTCCTTTTAAACTCATATAACGGGGCATCTGCCAGTTGGCAATGAATCAATTCCAACTTGTGGAGACCCCATGTAAGTCAAAGTAGAACTGTTCTCTATGGGGTTTTCAATAGCTGACCGTTTGGAAGTAGATCACTGGTCTTTTCTTCAAAGGCACATCTGGGTGGACCTGAACTTCAATCTTTTGACTAGCAACTTTGCACCATCCATCCACTGTATAATTAAGGTGTTCAATACAAAGAAATGGCATAACATTAGCAGTTCTCAAACAGTGCCTTGAGGTTCCCCAGCAAACTGAGGCACCATAGGATATTGTAGATGTTCAGGGAAAACACAGTGAAACCAGACCAACAAATTACTAGTTAGAGGTAGTTCAAAAATTCAGGGTAAGATTGTGCTACATTCCTTTTGATGACATAGTATCTTTATGAAACTAGGTTTTTAGCAATTGCTATAACTGAAAAATAATAAAAAGTACCAAATGAAAATGGGAATGCAGGTGGTGTTACTGAATCTGTTTCCAAGGTTTGAGAAGTCATGCATTGCCCAACATGCACATATATCCCATTAGTAGGCAACCGCAGTTAATTAAGAATGAAATAAAAATATTTTTTCTTTCAAATTTCTTTCCCAAATAGCTATTAGGGTAAGCCATGAATAAATACTTACTAAGCAGTTAAGATAAAACTGCTTGAGACTGACTGTTAGGTATTTCTTTTGACCTAGGGTCACTTTGAAAAATTACTGAGACACTAAGGACAACATAAACAGAATATGGAAACATCTGCCATAGTGGTAAGAACACTTTTTAACAAGAAAAAGCCTTGAGGTGTTGTCTTATATTCCACCAATTACCCAGTGTATGGCTTTAGGCAGGTCACCCAAATACTCTCCCTTGATTTTCCTCAACAGTAAAATAGGGACAATACTACCATTCTGAGTATTTGACAAAATTGTTGTGAAGACTACTGGAGGCTGAAAATGAAATTCCTACAAATTTTAAAGAACAACAAAAATCATCCCTGAAAGAAAAAAAAATCTTAGAAATGTTCACCAAGAGAAAAATGAAATAGGGTCTATAAATCATTACATATATTTGGAAAGCAGGATCTTACCTTTCTGAAATCTCCTCTAACAATTCCATAAGTTTAGCAGCCAAACCAAGGCGTCGGAATTCTGGGGCAACGGACAGAGCTGTGACATGCCCATGCCATTCTTCCCTAGCCACTGAGCCTTCTGCTTTTCCCATAACTGCCAATGAAAGTTTGCAGTCAGTAATTAAACATACTGATTTAGACATGAACATGATTAATACTGTACATTTTATTTCAAAGGAAACAAATGGCAAAGTTTTCATTTTTAAGTACTATTTGAGATCAGCTGGCTAATAATTAGTGAATTAGTGCTTTTACTTTAATTTCACTTACAGTATGTTAAATTTAGTTCTAGAATCAGAATTAGAAAAGGTTTTTTGTTTTTTTTTTTAAAAAAAAGGAATGACATACTAAAAACACAACTAATTTTAAATTAAAAAAGCATATGTATTTTTTAGTACATTTTATATGTGGATGTGGATGTCCATAACTGACACAAACCACAGCTCAGACTTTTGGTTAGTGTCATTACTAATTCAACCCCTACAAATAAGTGTATTTATGTACCAAATCTTATGTACTAAATAAACCATGTAAAAATTTAACAATAGAATGAAAGATTCAGGAACACTGAGACCATGACCGTCTGGGTCACTGCTGTTTCTCCTGGGCCTAGCATAAGCCTAAAATCTAGATGACATCATTAAATTGTTGATTGGCTGAAAAGGAAGTAAGATTATAGGTACCATGATTATACAGTACTTCTGTGGTAGTTAAGGTTATGTGTCAACTTGGCTGGGCCTGGTTTTGAGTGGCTGGGCAGCTGGATGTAGTTATTCCCCATGGTGAGATTGGTAATCATCTCCATGGTAGCATCTACTGGAGCAGCTACTGCTGCCTTCGGGATGTGGTCTGCTTCCAGAATATAAGGAAAAGTGTTGGGGACCAAGAAAAAGACCCCCAAAAGAACATGACTGCAAGGCACATGTTCTAATTGCAGTGAAGAGATGCCAAGGCCTCTCTTGTGCTTGAATGTTGCTTTAAGAGATGGCAAGGTCTCTCTCACTGTTAAATGCTTAATTGGCAATACATCAAAGAACTTAGATGTTATTC